CTAAAATTGGTTTTAGACAACTGGGTTCTGATCATTTTCGCCTCTTTGCTGTATCTAATGGTGGCTCCGGCAGGGGAGATAGTGGGAATAGTGGTTCAGGTGGCGGAAATTCTGGTGACGGTGGTAGTGGTGCTGCCACCATGGATCACAAAAATTCAGAATCAAAACCAGAGAACCAGAAATAAAAGTGGTTACAAGCTTGATTGGCATCGCGAAAGCGTTGAGCTTGAAGGGCAGTGCAGAGGCCCCATCCTGGGCCTGCACACGTGGCAGCCTAGGGGCGACCCGAGCTGGGCTTGCGCCCCGGGCCCATGGGGAACCAGCCCAGGGGGCGGGGCGACTAGGGCTCCGGGAGGCTCCCGAGAGCTACCAGGGGCGGGGAGAATCCCCCTTAGCGCGGGGTTGGGGGCTATCTACGGCAAGCCCCGGAACGTACGGAGGTCGGACTCTTCAACAGGTATAAATGGTAACACATACCAACTGTACAAGGTACGTTCACTATTGCCAACTTACTCCCGACTGCTTTACTGTTGGTACTTCCCTCACTCGCCGGAGGACTAACTTGACCTTCGGAGTGCCCTCGGGGACAACCTCGGGGCCCCTGCCAGTCCACTTTCCTGTTTACCTTGCAGGTTTAGAACCAGCTCTTCCATCAACACCCCGAGCTCATCAGGTCAGCTCGGTCCGGGAAAGTTCCGTGCTTCTTCAGTTGGCGCCGTCTGTGGGAAGCGAAGGTACGAGTATTTGTGTTGATGGCGAGAACGCGTTCCAAGCGAACCATGGATAACACTGATCCCAGAGCCGGCGAGAGATCCCGGCGGCTGGAGACCGATGCAGCCCGAGGCGCCGGGGGCTCGGCCCTTTCTAGGGAACGGAAACAGTAGATTTACCAGTTTGTAACCGAAAACCTCCCCATGCTGGAAGACATAATCCGGCAGGCGAAGGAGGGGGGTGAGGCTGGCGGTGCGCAGACCTCAAAGGCAAAGGGGAAGGAAAAGGAGTCGCTCCCCATCCCCTCGGAGGACGAGTCGCAAGACCAGCCCCCCAGGAGGAAACGACCGTGGACTCCTCCCAGGCCGCGGGCCTCAGTGGTCGGGGACAGTGAGAGATATTCTCGCGATCGGTCTGCTGGGGGCCGGCTGGGGAATCCCTCCTCGTGGAAGCTTACGCGGAATGAGCCGGAGCGCTCCCCCGTCCGGTCTATCAGGAGTCGGCCGCGGTACCCTCCCCAATGGCAGCCCGTCCGGGACGAGCTCGAGCAGATCCTGCGACCACAACAGTACGAGGACAACTACGCGGCCTCGCCCTTCACCCGAGAGGTAGAGGACTACCCGTTGCCTCGGAGGTTTAAAATCCCAAACATCGAGTTGTACGATGGTTCGACTGACCCGGAGGACCACCTCTCGGTCTTCCTGACGCACATGCGTCTGCAGACCGCCGCGGATGCACTCCGTTGCAAGACCTTCCCCATGTTCCTGAAGGGTAAGACCCGGCTCTGGTTCCAGGGTCTAACCCCGAGGTCTATCCGGAGTTTCACCGAGTTGGCCAGACAGTTCGCCGCCCAGTTTATCTCCTCGAAGACTTACTCGAAAAACGCGGCCCACTTGATGGCCGTCAAGCAGAAGCCGGATGAGTCCCTGAAGAATTTCATGACGCGCTTCAACACGGAAAGCCTGCAGATCAGGGACAAAGATGAGAAGGTGGTCATGGCTGCCTTCATGAACGGGCTAAGGGTAGAGGAGCTCTACTACAAGCTTGTCGAACAGCGCCCCAAGAATCTGGGAGAGCTCCTGACCCGGGCTCACGCTGCTGCCAACGCAGAGGAGGCCGGCCGCCTGAAACGAGAATCAGATCGGGAGCTCGGGGACCGGAAAGGACAGGCAAACCCCCCTGAAACCAAGGACGGCCAAGCCAAGAAGAACGTCTTCGATCGCCTCTCTAAGGATAGGGCCCCCGCTCAACCGCCGCTCCCTGAAAAAGGGTATACACCCCTAACTCGGCCAAGGGCACAAATCCTAGCTGTCATGGAGACAAAGGGCCTGGGAGACCGGCCGCCTAAAATGGGCACACCTCAAAATAAGAGGAATCAGCACCGGTACTGTGCCTTCCACAGGGACGTCGGGCATGACACTGAGGGTGCTGGGCCCTAAAGAGGGAGATTGAGGACCTCGTTCAGCGCGGCTTCTTGGGGCGATTTGTGCGGCAAGGTCGCCCAGGCCAGGAGCCGGGACGCACCTACCGTGGAGAGAGAGGCGAGGGCCAGCACCGTGACCGACCTGATCGGCGTGGCGAACCACAGGGTTATTCCCCCGACCAGGACGCCCAGAACTTGGCTGGTATGATAAACACCATTGCCGGCGGTCCCACGGGGGGGATAGCCATGCACCTCGGAAAAACAAGCGATCTCCCCCCGAGGGGGACGACTCCCTAAAACGCCTGCGCATGGACGAGGAGATCACCTTCGGGCCGAGGGACGCGGTTCCCCTAGCATCTGGGAACCATGAGGCTATAGTCATCGATGTTGTGACCAACAACTATCGGGTGAAGAATGTATACGTCGACCAAGGCAGTGCGGTCAACATTATGTTTTATCGGGTGTTCAAGGAGCTCAGCTTGGAGGATGGACAGCTGACCCCGGTTCGGACACCCCTGGTGGGTTTTACCGGACCGCCTGTCAACCCGGAGGGGATGATCACCCTGATGGTCACAGTAGGTCAGGCACCTAGATGCCGGACCATCCCTGTCAACTTTGTGGTGGTCAAGCAGCCATCCCCGTATAACATATTTCTTGGTCGGCCCACCTTGAATGCCCTCCGAGTTATTCCTTCAACGCTCCACCTCAGCGTCAAATTCCCCACCCCAGAAGGAGTTGCCGAGATGCATGGAGATCCGGAAGTGGCCCGAACTTGCTACCTCGCCATGCTCCAGGGGCATGAGAAGGTGGTCGCTCAGGCGACCAGCTTGGAACCCTACATCCCGGGGGAGGAGGAACGGCAGCTGGACACTCCGGATGAGATCGCGGAATTTCCATTGAAGGAGGGGAGGCCTTACCAGACAATCCGTATCGGTGCATCGCTGCCGCCCAAAGAGAAGGACAACCTGAAGGCCCTCCTAAGGGAGTACGCCCAGGTTTTTGCTTGGACGGTAGAAGACATGCTTGGGATTCCGACTGACCTGGCCGTCCACCACCTCAACATAGACCCCCGCTTCAGGCCTGTGAAGCAGAAGAAGAGGAACTTCGCTCCAGAGAGAAATGAGGTGATCAGAAAGGAGGTCGGGAAGCTGCTGGAATCCAAAATCATCATGGATGTCTACTATCCGACCTGGCTAGCCAACCCTGTTCTGGTAAAGAAGGAGGACCAGTCCTGGTGGATGTGCGTTGACTTCACGGATCTCAATAAAGCCTGCCCGAAGGACTGCTTCCCCTTGCCAAGGATCGACAGGTTAGTAGATGCTACTGTTGGTTTTGATGTTTTGTGTTTCTTGGATACCTTTAAGGGATACCACCAGATAGAGATGGCCGAGGAGGATCGGGAAAAAACATCGTTCATCACCGAGGAAGGAACTTACTGCTACCGGACGATGCCCTTCGGACTAAAGAATGCCGGAGCTACTTACCAACGCTTGGTCAATAAATTATTTCAGAACCAGATCGGTAGGAGCATGGAGGTTTACGTGGACGACATGATAGTCAAGAGCCGAGCAGGACCACAGCTCGTCCCGACCTGAGGGAGATTTTGAGCATCCTCTGGGAGAGTCGGATGCGGTTAAACCCGAAGAAGTGCACCTTCGGAGTTAGGTCGGGCCGGTTCCTCGGTTTCTTGGTCTCCCGAGAAGGGATCCGGGCCAACCCCGAAAAACTCCAGGCCATCATGGACATGGCCCCTCCACGGAATGTGAAGGAGGTCCAGCGACTCACGGGGAGGATGGCCGCCCTGAACAGATTCCTCTCTCAGCCCGCGGTGAGGGGGCTCCCCTTCTTCCGAATCCTTAAGGTACCCAAAGACTTTCAGTGGACCGAGGAGTGCGAGAAGGCTTTCACCGACCTCAAGGCATATTTGGCCGAGCTACCCACCCTGATCGCACCGGAGTAGGGAGAAACCTTGTTCCTGTACTTGTCCGCCTACAACGAGGCCGTTAGCGCGGTTCTGGTGCGGGAGGACAGGGGGGCTCAGAGGCCGATATATTATGTCAGCCGTGCTCTCCAAGGGCCGGAGACACGGTACACGCCGGCTGAGAAACTGGTCCTGGTTTTGGTGCATGCTGCCCGAAAACTTCGACCTTATTTTCAGGCCCACAGCGTCGTCGTCATGACCGACCAACCCCTGCGGCAGATACTCACCAAGCCCGAAATCTAGGACAGGATGACCAAGTGGGCCGTCGAGTTGGCTGAGCATGACATCGGTTACAAGCCTCCCACAGCCATCAAGGCCCAAGCCCTGGCAGACTTCCTTGCTGAGGGGGCCAACTTGACCCTAACCGAGCTAAGCCCTCTACGCGATGATGTACAGCCGAAGGAGCCATGGGTGCTGTTCGTAGATGGGGCCTCCAGCAAGGAGGGAAGCGGAGCCGGTCTACTGCTCATCTCGCCAACAGGGGAAGAACTAATCTATGCTCTCCGGTTCGACTTCCCCACGTCTAACAATGAGGCTGAGTATGAGGCCCTATTGACGGGATTGCGGATAGCCCACCAGATGAGTATTACCGCGATCAAAGTCTGGAGTGACTCTCAACTCGTCGTCCTCCAGGTCTGCGGGGAATACGAGGCCAAGGAGGAGGTCATGAAGAAGTACTTGGCCAAGGTGCAGGGGGCGACAGCCCTGTTTGATACATTTGAAATCGAGCGGGTGCCTAGATCGCAAAACAAGCGCGCAGACGCCCTGTCAAATCTGGCATCCTCCTCGTTTGCGCACCTGAACAAAGAAGTTCTGGTTGAGGTTGTGAAACAGAAAAATATCGATCAGGTCCAGGTCCTGGCTATAGACAGCTCGGCCATCTAGATGACCCCTCTCGTAAACTTCCTCAGCTCGGGTGCCCTCCCTGAGAACAAAACCGAGGCTCGCCGGATCCAGTTCAGAACTGCCAAGTACGCCTACGCCGGGGGAACCCTCTACAGGAGGTCATACCTATCCCCCTGGCTAAAGTGCGTGACTCCCGAGGAGGGCGATTATGTCCTCTGCGAAATCCATGAAGGATTATGCACGGCGCATGTCGAGTCCCGGGTACTAGCCAAAAAATGCCTTCTCCTGGGCTACTATTGGCCTTCGGTTTTCCAAGATGCGGCTGCTTTGGTTCAAAAATGCCGAGCATGTCAGGTGCATGCCTCGCTGCGCCACCAACCCACCCGGGAGATGGTCCCCATCCACAGTCCCTGGCCTTTCGCCCAGTGAGGGATAGACCTCCTGGGTCTCTTCCCCCGAGCTCCGGGCAGGTACGAACACCTCGTGGTAGCCATCGACTATTTCACGAAGTGGATGGAAGCCGAACCCCTGGCCACCATCTCTGGTAGGGCAATTCAGAAGTTCTTCTGGAAAAACATAGTCTGCCGCTTCGGAATCCCGCACGTCCTAATATCCGACAATGGCCGACAGTTTGCCGAAAATCCCTTCAAAAATTGGTGCGCCGAGCTCGGGATTAACCAGCACTTCACCTCGGTTGGACACCCCCAAGCCAACGGTCAGGTGGAGAATGCCAACCGAACCATCCTGCAGGGGCTAAAGACTAGGTTGGAGCTAGCCCAGTCTAATTGGCTAGACGAACTACCTAGCGTTCTCTGGGCTTACCGCACCACGCCCAGAACGGCCACCCATGAAATCCCGTTCTCTCTGACTTACGGAGTAGAGGCGGTGGTATCCGCGGAGATTGGTCTCCCCTCGCCCCGGACACAGAACTTCGTTGCGTCAACCAACAGGGAAGAGCTGAGGTACAACTTGGACACGCTGGAGGCTAAGCGTGAAGAAGCGGCAGTACGGATGGCTAAGTACAAAAGCCAGCTTGCCCGCTATCATAATGCCAGAGTAAGGACCATACAGTACCAGCCAGGGGACCTTGTCCTAAGGAAAAACTCGATCAGCCGAGCTCATAACTCCAACAAGCTCGACCCGAACTGGGAGGGCCCTTACCAGGTCCTCGAGGCAAGCCGAGCTGGCTACTGCAAGCTCGCGAAAATAAATGGATCAGAGTTACCCCGCACTTGGCACTTCTCCAATCTGCGACTGTTTGTAGGCATAGGTTGGACCAGGGTGTCCGTTTGTCTGTTTTCTGGAATTCGAATTTCAGTTTCATTACTCAATACAAGCTCACTTGTTTGTGATTTTATTTGTACTTGTTTGCTTTTTAAGCTTGAATCTTACACTAGCACACTTAGCGTTCCCTCACTAAATGTCCTAGTGGGGGGCTAGGGGGTAGTACTGGATGCCAGAATGTTCGTAAGAGTGTTCGACCCCAGGAGGTCGGCACGACTGGAAAACTTTGAAGAACTTTGAAGGGCTCCGAAAATTCCACGCTCGGCCCAGGAGGTCGACACGAACGCCTTCAAGGTCGGACGCTCGACCCGGGAGGTCGGCGGGGAAGACCCTTAAGGATTTGGTGCTCAGCCCCAAGAGACTGGCACGTTGCCCCGGTAGGACGGTGGGGTGCTCGACCCGGGAGGTCGGCACAGGTTTTCGACAATCTGCTTCCCTCTAATGATTTAGTTGTTAGATTAACGGGGGTATGCATTTGGTGCTCGACCAAGGAGGTCGGCACCTGGTTTCGTTTGTTGCAGTGGGGTGCAGGAAAGAATTGTAGGAGGGACTCTTTCGAATTTCGTATAAACATTCAAAACCTATCTATTACAAAACTTTCAGCCTATCTATTACAAAGCCTACCGAGCTATACAGGGAAAGGGGGGAACCTAGCTACGCCTTTCTTCTTGCTGGCGATCTGCTTGAGGCAGGAGCTGAAGGTACACCTCAAACATGTTGAGAGGTAGGGGCTGAAGGTACACCTCAAACATGTTGAGAGGTAGGAGCTGAAGGTGCACCTTAAGTATGTTGGAGGTCGGGTGGAGAAGGCTATTAAAAAGGATCTGGGGAGCCTTTCCGTCTCAGATGGACCCTCAAGAGTATTTTCAACTGGAACATGGTCACATCCTTATGTCGGGTGGAGAAGGCTGTGAAAAAGGACTTGGGGGGCCTTTCCGTCTCAGATGGACCTTCAAGAGCATTTTCAACTGGAGCATGGTCACATCCTTATAAGGAGACGGAAAGGGTTTCTGGAGTGGCCGCTGCTTTAGGCCATGGGCTCCTTCCCGGAAGCCTTGCCAGGAGTCTCCTCCTCCTCCAAAGGAAGCTCCGCCAGCTCGGCCCCCACATCGCTCCTTCCCATCAGCTCCCTCAGGGCATGCCCCTTGCGGTACCCATCGAAGAGCCAGTCAAGCTTCTCCTCGGCCGCAGGATTGTAGTTCTTGATGTCCGCCAAGTTGAAGCCGGGTGGGTTGAGACCCTTCACCTTGTCCAGGGTCCGCGTGGCGCCGATCTGGAAGATGGGCTGGTTGAGGCAGGCCACGTCATCGGCGAACTGATCGGAGGAGATGAAGTCCCGGACAGCCTTCTTGCTCTCCCGGCTGATGGTGCCAGAGAGCTCGAAGGCGTGCTCCTCCTTCAGCTTCGCCACGCCATTCGTCTCTTGGTCCAGCTCGGACCGGGTGGAGGCGAGCTGGACCTGGGAGTCCTCCAGCCCCTTCTCAGCCTTGCCCAGCTTGGCCTTAAGGGAGTCCACCTTCTTCAGGGCCTTGGTCAGCTTCTGCTCCGCCTCCCGATTTTTCTTTTGCATTTTCTCCAAGTCGGGAGACAGCTCGGAGAAACGGGTCATCAGGGCAGCACCGGCGGCGTTGGCCTGTAGAAACAAAAGTAAGAGTCAGCTCATTGCTAGCCCCATTCAGAGAAAGAGCAGGGGCTCAAGGGGGCCTAAAAGGGGGAAAGGCTTACTTGGGCCTGGGCGGTGTAGTACATGTCTTGGAGCTCAGACGGGGTGGCCAGCTCCATCAACTTCTTGTCACGTGGAAGGACTGAGCCCGTGACCAGCTCGCGAGCCACTTCGGGGAATTGGGCTCGGTCATTGATGGAGAGCTCCCAGGACGGACAGAAACGCCGGGGATCATGCATTGTGGGGGCCTGCCCCGGCTTCGAGGGGGCCACATGGCGGAAGTGCCACAAGCTCGGGGGAGCGCTCTCCTGGGCGTGCTCCTCCGCGGAGCCTACCCCCAGGTGGACCGGGCCTCCAGACGTCAGCAGGAGAGGGCGCTGAGCTGGGCCCTGCGCGGTTTTCTTCCCAAGCTGGGAAGGCTCGTCTTCTCGCCCCCTCTTCTGCCCTGTTGCCTTCTCCTTTCCGGGGGCTGGCTTGGAGGGGGACTGAGCTTGAGAGGCCTCTTTTTGGGGGGTCGAGCTGCCCCCAGGAGTCGCAGAGGCCTTAGGGGCCTTCTTCGCCGCCTCAGGCTGTTCAGCGGAGGCTGTCTCCTCGACCGCCGCACCCAATAGCCTGGAAAGCCTCTTCACTACAAAGAACATCACCAAGTTAGTGCTATAGGTCAGAAAAACAAAGGGAAAAAGGCAGCAGATAACAGGGGAACAGGTGCAATATTACAGGCATCATGGTCGGCGAGGGAGAACTCCACCCCTCCGGGGGACCCGGACAGCTTCCCCAACAGCCCGGCTGCGGAAATCTGCTCAGTGCAGAACTTGGCTGCGTACAGTTTCGTCGCAGAGGCCAGCAGCTGGGCGAGAGCCTTAAGGTCCAGGTCCTCCGGGCAGGGGTCGTCCTCGACCCCCCCAACCTTCCATGCATTGGGAGGAAATTGGTTGGTTTTGACAAAAAAGAAGTCCCCCTTCCAGTTCTTCACGGAAGAGGGGACCCCGTAGAGAAGATCCTGGGCCCCCTTCCCGCCGCGATTGTTGGTGGAGCGACGGCAGAAGTAGTACCACCCAGGGAGGGAGGCCTTGAGGACGTAGATAGTGCGGAAGAGAGAGAGAGAATAGGGGATGGAGCAGATCTGGCAGTAGATCAGGAACCCGATGATGCTCCTGATGGAGTTAGGGTGGACCTGGGTGATCCTGAGCCCCCAGAAGCTCAGGATCTCGGCCAGGGCCGGGGGAATGGGGAGTCGAAGCCCCGCGACCAGCTGCTCTTTGTAAATGGCTACAAAGCCTGGGGGAGGTCGGCAAGCCCGGTCGGTGGGCTCGGCAGCTCGCGGCTCGAAGGCCGGAGGAATAGAGAATGAAGAGGCCAGCTCGGCTACCGCCCCGGGCGAGAGGGTGGTCTCCTCCCGATCGGGGTGACCGTAATTGAACTCAGGATCATCCCCCCTGCTCGGCAGCAGGGGTCCCCTCTGAGGATTCCCTGTCCTCCCCAGCTCCCCCTTGGGCTCCGCCAGGGGAGTCATGTGGGGACTCGGGGGATGGGACAGAAGTGGCTTGCTGCCGGATGTAGGCATCAAGCTCGGAGGCGGGCGGAAGGAGAATGGGCAGAGGGAGAACTCATGATGTCAATGGGCTCAAGCAAATCAGGAATGGGAAAATGGGGGTTGGAAGCAGAGGATGAAGAAGGAGAAGGAGGGGGAAACGATGAAGATGAAGATGAAGATGAAGAGGAGATGAAGATTCTGGTGGCTCTACGATGGACCGGAGTCTGGGATACGGTAGAAGTAACGTCGGAGAGGCCCGACATAAAATGCAAAGGGTGATGAAAAGAGGTAAGGAAATGCGAAAGAAGAGGGGAAAGGACTTACTAGTGGACAGGGAATGTGTTGGAGTTGAAGCGGTGAACAGGATCGCCGGAATCTGGGTGCTGTTGGCCGGAAATGCACTACTGGGAGTTGGAAATGCACGAAGAAAGGAGAAAATGGCAAATGGAGTTAACCGGAATTTGGCAGCCCCTATTTATAGGGAACGAAATGGGGGAGAAACGGTTACTTGAATTTGAACCGTCCCATGTGAACACATTTAATGGGGGTACGGAGACCGAAGGGAAGCGACAACTGAAGGGACGCGGACGCCACTTCCCAATGTCAGCACAGCCTCGGAGGTGACCGCGGCAGAGCAGTGTGATGATGGGCTTCCACGTGGCCAAGTGATAGATCAGGTCTGCCTGGGAGCCGGACCTAATCTAGGGGGCTAGTGCAGAGGCCCCATCCTGGGCCTGCACACGTGGCAGCCCAGGGGCGACCCGAGCTGGGCTTGCGCCCCGGGCCCACGGGGAACCAGCCCAGGGGGCGCGGCGACTAGGGCTCCGGGAGGCTCCCGAGAGCTACCCCGCAGAGGGCGGGGAGAATCCCCCTTAGCGCGGGGTTGGGGGCTATCTACGGCAAGCCCCGGAACGTACGGAGGTCGGACTCTTCAACAGGTATAAATGA